GGGGGGGGGGGAGTGGGTCCAAAATGTCTACCCTATACACTTCAACACTCCTTTCAGATCGTGTTTTACAAAAGAAGTTAAGATCATCCACTTTATTTTAATTAATGTTAAAGAAAAAAAAGAAATATATAACGAAAATCACGAAGTTTCTTTCGACAACAGTGAAATAAAATGAATTTAAATTATGAAAAACCTATCCGTGCCGGTATTTGATGATTTTTATGCAGTTATATCACAATCTTAGTTCAATTCGATGGAGATGACTTTAAACGAGTAGTGAAATATAATTTGTAAATGATATTTAACTCAAGTCTTGGCGTTAAAAGCGCTTTATCCTAATCGCTGGACTACATGAACTTAATACGTTTCCGGTTGTAATATGTTTGAATTGCTAAACATCATATATGTCACATCGCATAGTTTGGTGCCAACTGATAATAAGAACAGGAACATTTGCTGTGTTTTTCACTCATGTCTTCATCGGAGGAAATAGGCAAAATAATCTATAGTTGTGAATATTATCTGAACGGTAATGATGATCAATAAAAGCATAAAAAATATCACAAGGTAATAAACGAACTAACAGCTAATATAAAAGTTTACACGAAAACGGTTCAAATCAAGAATTCATTGTAAATTTGATTTAGAAATAGACGAAATCAAGTGAAGCAAAATAAATGTCTGTTATTGTAAAGCAAATAAAATTAAGTAAAGCCATCGACACATTAGAAGACCCGGGGTCTTCTATTCTGTCTTATCATTCATAAGTTAAAAGGGGGGTCTTCTATTATGTCCCTAAAAAAAGTCATATTTTTTGGTAGTTCCGTCAACAAATCTTAGTTTCACTTGATTTTTGTCCAATATATCGTTAGTAAATGAGTTTGCTTCACTTATTTCACATGTGTAGAATAAGAAAGAAGCAGATATCATCCTGTGAAAAAGAGGAGACCATCGTTGGTAAGAAGTGTTCTTAGAACAATACAGTCAACGTAGCCTAGCATCTTGGTACGATATCCCATACTATTCTTTTTTCTCTAGGCTAAGACCTATCATTGGCAACAGTTTGCCTTCTCAATAACTAAATAAATGTAAAAAAGAAAATTAATTTTTTTTATCAAACTCATTTTTTTCAGTTGCTTATGTGGAAATTTGATTAGTATATATGGAATCTATTCACAGTGAATTCTGCTACTAGCAGAGTTATTAATCTCAAGCTAACTTCAATGAATACGATTGTCTTGTGAAGAAACCATCTATAAAAAATCAGCAGTTGAATACAGACAGTGTGTTTTCTTTTGCGTCAGTTTCAAAAAATGGCATTGGATCTTATTGAAAAAAGAAATGCGTTCTCAAACTCAAAAGAAGTACTCACATATCAAATCTTGACGTATATACAGTCTACGCAAAAAACTCTGGGACACTCAAGAATGGCTCCCCGAAATTTCATCTTTCATTTGAAATAAACTTTATATATATTTTTTAAGTATAGTTACTAGTTAAACTTTCGTACTTTACTGTGCAGATGCAAAACTTCTAGTTTTAATATTATATGAAACTTTAACCAGTAACTATACTTAAAATATATATAAAGTTTGTTTCAAATGAAAGATAAAATTTTGCAGAGTCATTCTTGAGTGTTCCAGAATTTTTTGCGTAGACTGTACATGAAGTCATGTTTTCTTCAATTATGAAACACTGTTTTGTTGTAAAAACGTTTCTGACTTTCTAGAAGAAAGTCAAAGATAAAGAGACCTTTTAATTAATACAAAGTGGCATTTTACCTAATCTGTTATTAGTCTACAAAGATCCCTTCATGTGTTACATGCACGAACGGGCACTACGTTCATTAGATCCTATGACTATGAAAGCGTGTTTTTCGTGTATAGAGCCTGAAGAATGTTTTCAAAGTAAGCTGTAAAGAAGTGCTAAAATGACTCCATGATATGTTTTTACAAAGAAACGCAATCTTCAATAGATAGTTGTTTCCTATTAACTGCTTCTCTAGATTTTACTCATTCGAGTCTGATACTTCGTTATGAGGGAGGAAGCAAAATATTGTTCGTACCGAATTTCGATATCATTCTGGGCTTAAATACTAAACAAGTCAATAAACTCCAGAAACTATTTCAAAATGTCGATTTTTTAAGGGGGGGTCTTCTAATATGTCTTTTGCGTCATTTATTCAAGGGGGGTCTTCTATTATGGGGGGGTCTTCTAATATAGGGGGGTCTTCTAATGTGTCGATGGCTTTAAGAACATTTAGGTAATATTGTGTGAATATCGTTCTTCATTCATTCTATACCACACCGCTAATTCAATCCTTAGTGAAAATCTCATAGAATTACAAAAATCAGTAATCTCCATGCTGACTTGTTGTCGTTAGCATCGAAACTGATTTCTTTTCGGCATAATCAACAACACAGAGTAAGTATGCGTCCTTAAATCGCTAAGTAAATGCTACCTGTCTGAATTTTGCTTTCTCTCTCTCCCTCAAACTCGACTTTTATTTGTCTTACAGCATCTACGACGCCATACACTTAAAATCAACATTCGTTGTGCAAAGCGACTGAGAATGGCGTCTAACACAGAG